GAATCAATTTAGGATGAGTGAACAGAGAGCTCCCCTGTCACCCCAGTGAGGATCTTGAAACTCTGCTGTCATCAGCCAGAAGAATTAATCCTGATAATCTGTCCTGCTAGTGTTACTGAGATGTGGAATAGCAGTCAGATGAGGCTCTTAACAATTTACACCATCTCCATTGCGATTATAATAMTGTATGACATTAATTCAGGGTGATACAGTCATGTTTATTCCTGGAAGAGACACTGAAATGCTTCCAGGTTTTCCTCAGTTTCCACAGCAGGGAGAAAGTGGTAAGAGTTTGCTCTTTCTACAGACTATTCCCACTGGACTACAAATGTCTGAGGAGCCACCTGTATAAGGAATTTGCCTTATATAGGAAAAGCAATCAGACGAAAGGGAAGCCCTTCCAAACACTGACAAGACTTTGTCATCAGATTAGGAAGCATCATCTGACAATGGCTCCCATCAAACAAGATGTATTAGACAASAGAATTCTGACAGAATTGCACTTTCAGTCTGACTGAAAATCCCAACTGTCAACACCAGACAGACACAGAAAAACAAGACAGGTGTTTAACACAGTGATAGGGTGTGAGGCCTCAGAGTGAAGCCTCTCGTGCCTCAGATTCTGCCAACTGAGAGCAGGTCTTTGAGACAGGAGACAACTTTCCAGGATGCAGTGGCAGAAGTGTTTCTCCAGTGTAAACTTTACACCACTCAGGATATGTCTCATCACTCTACTCCCACTCTGCAGTGAAATGTTAAAACCCCCTCTGTTCTACAAGAATAGAATGCATGAATTCACACTGAGTGAATGTATATGTGGACTGTTATTTGGAAATAAGAACTATTATTTTAAGTTCTGTTTTGTTAATTATTCATTATTTAYCACTTTAATTATGCATGAAAAAACCTTAAGTACTTTTGAATTTTCTTTAGGCAATGCAGACACTATGGCATGCTAGGAAAGTTATATATTGAGATGTCTCTTCCTTCCATTAGTCATAAGAGAAACATAAATTACAATTCAGCATATAATTCTCTGCTTCTTCACACAATCATTTAAAGTTGATTGAGCACAATTACTTCGTACTCAGCATATTTACTGCGGTATAAAACTTYCTTTCTCTCATAAAGAAAAGGCATYCAGGCWCTTTTCTGAACAATAGCATTGTAAAACATTTTTCCACGGGGCTTTTTCTGAAAACATCTTTTATCCTACAGTTGTTTACAAGTCACTTTAGCCGTGATTTGGGGGAAAGTGCTTAATATGTTAATGTTTCTCCTTGAGCAGGAGCTTTGCTTAAGAGCTTTTCTGAGTAGAATCTTGTTTATATCTGTCTATTTATCTGAATTTAAAGTAGGGATTTTTCTGGTATCTCAAATAATTTTGAAACAAAGCTACTCATGAGTAGCGTGCAGACCACTTCCCTCACCTCACCATCTGCGCTTCCTGATGTACCCTGCCCCATCCTTGTKGCACCACTGGCTGGACAACACACAGCACATACTGTGACTGTGTAATACCATAAATATATATAATTTTCTTTACTGACCAGTTAACAGATAGGCTGAGTGGTCAGTCAGCCAATGTGTTTAACACAGAAAGCAAAGTCTCACATAGCTGAACTTTGCTTTTCAACTCACAGACCCAACCAAGGGCCTGGTGACTCTAAAATGGGTATTTTTTCAAAATTCTGTTGAATTTTTTTCGCTCTTATCAAACTTATGCTGGCTAACAGGTTTCATTATGGTGCCTGACAGGTAATGTGGCCACAGAAATTTTGTTTGCTTATGAAGCTGAGGGTTAAAAACAAATGCACAGCAGTCAAATTTATAAGTACCAGTATAAAATGAAAAAAAGCCATGAATAATACAGGTGAATTTTACATACTTAATATTAGTAATTTGTTTCCGTGTTTGATCAGATCTGATAGTACTTTAGCCATCAGGTTAAAGSGAGGATTGAGGGATGCTGCTTGCAAAGCCTTTTGAAAGTGTTACTTTCCTTTAGTCTGTTCTTTGTCACTGTTAAAGCTGAGTACTGCACTTAATCTTGTTGATACTTGTGATTGAATGAGGAGGCATTAAAGATTTTAATATCAGTTGTGCATAAAGATGAGCTTTAATCACTGCTGAATTAGTTCACTTCTCCTGTCAGCAAATATTTCCCCCTTTGATGCTCTCAGACTACTCTCTTCACTAATGTGGCAGAACACAATTCTTCAATTTCTGTGGATGCCCACAGAACTCATCACTGAATCACTTGATTCAGCAAAATGCCAACAGCAACACTGTTCTCCAAAAAGACAGAAAACCCCTTGAGGAACAAGCTAATAATTTTGCATGTTTAATGACAAACCTGTTAATTTCACACAAACCATCCCAAAGAAAAGGCCACTAGAGGGAAGTAAATCCAATACGCTCAAAGAAAACAAAATGCTTGCTATTCTAAATGATTGTAGCTAACAAAATGGTCTGGATTTCCAACAGCTGAAGAATTTGGTCTATATTCTTAACAAAGCAATGACAACTGAATAAAACTTTCTATATATTTATAAAGAGGTCTTGCACTTCATGCAATGTGCATGCCAAAACTATTAAAAAAGTATGTCAGAAAAGTACCTTTTATTGAACATAAAAAGGTASAACAAACATGGGATAAGTGCGTAGATATAATTTACTTTACACCTACATCATTTCACATAAAATGCAAAAAAAAATTATTTAAACCCTTATGTTTGGACTTCTAGTAATGAAGTCCAGGTAAAAATTAATATATTTTTGATTTTTTGTAATGTCATATGTATAATCTTGGATCTTTGTTTTCTACAAATATCTGCACAAACCTGCTAAATCATGCAATAAGGACTGTCCATTTCAGTAAAATTAAGATTATAAAGAAAGATTGCAACAGTGGATTCATAATCAAATCTCTGCAACRTTCCAATGCTTTAGTTCTACATACTTTTCTGAGGTTAGATACCCTAGCTTTTTTCCTTCTTACTTGTGACTAAAAGTAAATCACAAAAAATGTTTTTTGGTTTCTCAATACTTTCCATTAACAAAAACTCCCTGAATTTTCTTTCACATTTCATATAACGTTGTATTTTCTTCCTTGTATTTCTAAATATATAGTCCCCATGCTTATAGTTTTATACAACTACACAGTCTGTAAGCCGCCAGAAATGGTTTTATCTTCATAGCTAGATTTTATAGATGACTCAATTTCATTTATTATGGTGCTTTCTCTTGCAAAACTGTCTTTTTATATCCAGATAAACTGACAGATATTCTGAAAATCTGGTCTTAAATTCTCTGAAGCCCTTCCAATAGCATTTTTAGTAATGTAAGAATCATTAAAGGGAATGCAAACAGTCTACACTCTAGAATTTATTATCAAGTGTGTCAAAAAATATCAAAACATTGGTCTTTTCCCTGTTTTGAGAAAACTGCAGTGAAAATCTATATCCTTAAACCAGGCACAGACAACAGCAAAAGACATTTTTTAAAAGCCACCATTTTAATACACATCACAAGCTGTGCTCATACAGCTGTTATCCACTTTAAAAATAAATTGTMTTTCAGGTGACCTCCACCTGGGCAAGCTTGGTGCCCTGCATTTCATACCATGCAGCAAAACACGAAAAAGAAGTTTACATAGGGGTGCTTTCTGGCACCCCATCTTTTCTCTTTAGTGAGAAGGAAAAAGGGAGATGCAGGTTTCCAACATGATACATTGTCTAAGTGTTTCAGGCAATTCTCAGTGCAAAGCCTATTTATCATCAGGCATCTTACATAATTAGCTCTTCTGTTACCATCATGGACAGTGAGTGATTAGTTTTTGGGCTTTTCCTAATCCATTTTCATGAATATTATTAGTATTACCATCACTGTCATTATTACCATCATCATCACAGCAAGCTGTTAATTTCTGTATGCCCAAAGGCAAACCAGTCATCACTTACTCATTAACAAACTGCTCGTCCCAAAATACACAGGTAAGCAGATTTTTGTTAGGATGATCAGGGAAAGGACTCAGGGCCTTCCTACAAGTGGAACGTAACAGGATGCTCCCAAACATTAGCACTTTTACTAAGCAGAAACATATTATCAAATGTGTTTTACTCAAACAGTAGTTCTGCCAGCTCAGTTCCTGTTCTACATTAAACACTTCAGCTGCAGTTGCAATGTCACTGCACAGCAGGTGAAAAGCATTTCTGGAACAAATGTCAGCAAGGGATAATTTTGAAATAACCTTCTTGTCTCCAGTTACACAAGCCAGAAGACAGCAGTGCTATATGGATTGCATTGTTAGTAACCTATGATGCTGTTTCCTAGCACAGTAAGTACTTCTAAAGAAGAAAAAGTTGCAGAAATAAACAAAAATTGAGAGCTCTTTTAGTTTCCCATGTCTATCACAAAGATTCACCTAGGACATGAATTCAAACCGAAATGGGGGGAAGAAAAAGCTCAAAACAATAATRCAACGTTAACAATTAAAGGAATAAAAAATATTGGGACAGCTCACCTGTGGAAATGACCCAAAGAGATGCAGAAGTATCTTAGAATGAGGCATGCTGTATTAAATGTACCATGAAACACAGACCAAAGAGTTCATTTTCACTTTGCCTTTGAATTGAGGAGTTGTAATGGATAACCTGTGGTGTTTTACTCTCACAAAAGTGAAATCACAAAAGCACCAGACAGACTCCAATCCTGATGAACCACTAACATAGCTAATCTCAGAGGGCTAAAGCTTGCACTTAATTTTAAACAGAATGGTATGGGTTTGTGCCCTGTGTAATGGGGTCAAGGGCCAAGTGCCAAAAGTATTTAATGCCCTCATCAGCAGAAACCGAAAGTCCTCTGGAAAGCACTTAAAAACATTTAKCAATCTGCACAACACCCTAATTAGCTGACCCAGACTTCCAAGAAACAAAGGATCCCCACAGTGAGTGCACAGGTGACAGGGACAGCGACAGACACAGAGTGTTGGCACTTACCATCTTGGTCTGTGGTGACTGTGATAGCTGTGAACTGCTTGGGGGAGAAGCTCAGCTCCGAGACCCCGTTGGTGGCTTCTATCTCGAAGGTGTAGTTGACGTGCGACACGAAGTCAAGCACGGTCACAGAGGAGTTGATGAGCCCGGTGTGCCTGGGGATGAAGCGGATGCCACCCCCACAGATCTCGCACTGGCTGGCATCTGAGCCACACTTCTTACAGATGACACTGTAGGTGAGGTCCTTCCTTCCCCCAGTGTCACTCGGGGGGCTCCACTCCAGCATCAGAGCTGTTTCGTTGATGTTAAAAACCACATTCCTTGGAGCAGAAGGTGGCCCTGCAGAGGAGGGGAAAGCCTGTTAAGCTACTTTTGTCTAGTTTGGAGAATAAGAAAATAAATTCAAAATTGATTAGTCCTAAGGCAATTATTTACAAATAAAAGATAAAATGTTTATGTTTCAATAACAGATTTAATTTAAAAATTATCTAAAGACAATTGTTAAAAAAAGCAGTAATAATAAGTTTGTGAGATCATAAAAAGCTGAGTAATCTATATAACTTAGAATTGATTCAGAAATAATTAAGGGCATACAAAAATGACTTAGGAATGTTAAACCTAGACTAGATAACAAAAATTTACAATAAATGGCTCTTGGTGCTGTGGAATAATGGGGTAGAGTTCTTATTTTATGTCTAGTAAGGTAGGCTTTTCTGAGACTTAAAATCTTCAATGTTTTATAAGAGACAAATTGAGTAATAAATAAATAACAGCTTTGGAATAACTACAAGAGGTAAAACTGTTTGTATTAGTTCTGCAGTGCCAGATATTTCTTTCTATCCTTCACTGCTTATCCCCAGAGATTTCTTTGCTGCTGTTCATTAACAGAGTTGGGTGGCAACARGCCAACACTATTAAGCACAAGAGACAGTTTACAAGTTTTCTTTCTTTCCCTCCTGTTGTCTCATCAGCCTCGGGATTACAGTGAAGACATCAACCTTGCAACTTAAAGGACTAAAAGGATGATCAGAAAGCAGGAAAGAAGGTACTTCTTTAGGGCTATGAGGAGGAATGCAAAGAATGCTGTGGGCAGAGTGCAGGGAAACTCGCATTCAACAAGCAGGTGGTACAGCTAGAGGTCTGTACACTRTCAGATGACGCACAAGTGACCCATTTCCAATTTCCCACACATCACACAATAGTCAAGGCATGTCCAACAAGTTTTAAGCTGTTTGCTGACTTACTGTGTAGGATCACATGAAATCATCCGAGGCTTTAGATATAGATATAGATATATTTATATATAAAAATATATGTAGTGATCTAGTGATTGTCCCCCTATACCAGGCACTGGGGAGGCATATCGAGTCCTGTGTCCAATTCTGGGCCCCTCAAGAAAGGCATTGAGGGGCTGGAGCATATCCAGAGACAGGAATGGAGCTGGGGAAGTGTCTGGAACACAAGGCTGATGAAGAGGGGCTGAGGAAATCAGGGCAGGGGTCAACCTGCAGAAGAAGAGAGGGACCTTTTTACTTCCCCTCCCTAAAAGGAGAGTGTAGCCAGGTGGGGATCAGTCTCTTCTCCCARGGAACAAGTGACAGAACAAGGGGAAATGGCCTCAAGCTGTGTCAGATGAAGTTCAGGTTGAACATCAAGAACTTCTTCACAGAAAGGGTAGCCAGGCTTTGGAATTTAATGCCATCAGAGGTGGTGAAATGGAATTCTCTGGAAATGTTCAAGAAATGACGTGATGTGGCACTTAGTGCTGTGGTCTAATTTACAARGTGGTGATTGGTCAAWGGTTGGGCTTGATGATCTTGGACGTCTTTMCAACCTTAATGRTTCTCTAATTCTATGATTCCATATCAGCTTCCACAGTCTGATGAAAGAACTTTACCACCTAATTAYTTTTCAGAGAGGAATTAATGAGAGGGGGAAGAAAAGGTAGGAAATGTTACATGGTATCTGAATAATCTTATCTAATTTTCCTACATTATATTATTCTTCCACTTAACACGTTTCAACCAAGAACTTAGAGATGTATGGTTTTCAAAACCATTTTGGACAGACATRATCAAAAAATAAAAATTATGATAAGAAACACAGACTTGGAAAAATGTGAGGCCTTATACTCCAGGTTTTGACATATGTGAGATGACTGTGGTAAACCCAACTGCTGACCTCTGGGATTTTTGGGCTGAATGGGTTGAATAAGCATTATATTCTCAGCTCTCAATAAAATCACAGGGCTTCACCAACGCTTAGCAGAACTTGGAAGACTTTCAGCTTGCTTTGCAGCTTTTGATGATTTATACAACCTGCCAACAGGACTTAGGCATAAAGTTTTGATTGAGACACTGGTCAAACTTTGAGCAAGCTTTTTTGTGTTTCTTAAGCAGYCTAAAGACTACAAGAAAGATTTGCAAATGACACCAACTAATTTTGGTAACAGRCTGCAACATTCATAATTTTTAAGTGAGGCTTTTTATTTACTTACATGGCATAAGTGTGGGTGGAAAGGTTGGAATGCTTGTAAATAAAAAAGTTAATATGGTGTGGGAGTGATAATGTGAACTAATAAACATTAAGCTTTTCTGTGAACGGCACTTCAGTTTCTTTTTCATTTCTGGTATTTAYTTKTAATTTTTAATAAGAGAATATGTTTTCGTTATAATTAATGTTGCCCTGAAGTAAATGATGAGTTATCTGCTGGTTTTCAAGCACTTGATAATTAAAATATATGAAAGTGTTGGACTACCTTGCATTTTTTTAGTGGATAAGGAAGTTTAAAATCTTTTGAATGGATGAGCGCTTATTAACATGTGTATCTGTCCTGAGTTCAGAGTTAAAAGATCACCAAACTTCCCACAAAACCACTGTGACAACGATGGCTCTAGCTATTCTGGAAAATAGTCCTGAAATCAGAATAAGCTAAAACCAGCWMMCATTACTTCAGCTTCAATTCTTATTATTCCTGTTCAGAACACAGGAATAATTATGTTTCGTCTAAAACCATGCTGYGAGAATTAAATAATGACAGGGTCTWAACAAATTCCCACWGTTAAAACTAYGGAGGAGTTTTAGGAACATGGAGGATGAGCTGTAATCGCACTTCCATATGTGCATAACTTTAAGTGGATCAGTAATCCCCTTGAAATAATTGGTAATACTCATGCACTTAAAACTAAGCATCTGTGTAATTGCTTGAAGGATTGGARTCAGTGTTTTAAAACTGGCTTAAATCTAATCTTTCATAAACTATAGATGTTATGACAATGGGTCATCATAACTCATGATTTGTTTAATATTATTTCATCAATTTTTGCAGGCCCAAACAGGAATTAATATGAATCTGGGCAATAGGAGAGTTTTGCCTGGCTTTGTCTGGATTTTAGTTTTCTATAAGATTTTCCTTGTACTATATGGAATGGCATCTATAGAAGAAYCAGTACAGTAAATAAAACACTTCTAAAAGTATTTTTTTTTTTTTCATTTGCACTAGAGGCTGAAGGTTTTTATGGTCATGATTTGGGACTTAATCCTCAATTTAAAACACGCATTATTGTACATTCACATTTCAATGAAAAGGTAAACATTATCAATTATCTTAGAGGTGTCTTAAAAGATATTACTGTCCTCTTGCAAATGGAGAAAAAACCCTCAAACACACTTCATACTCAAGGCCCCTATGCCAATTTGCATGAGGATGAAATAGCTTTTTAATTGCTGTTAAATTATGCCAGTTAAACTGTGATTTCATGCAAATATTAAGCTGTAATGACATGCAGTGAATCATTTACTAAGATTTAGAACTTGGAACAAAGAGAGACAATTAATTCTAATCCTCAGATTCAGCTAAATTATGTGTCACTGGGCTTTTATGAATGTGGCCTGATTGCTTTGTTATCATTTATAAATTAGACAAAGATTATTTGACACATTGGAAAAACCTGGCAGCAATAAGCCTTCTGCAGACATCTGTATGCAAAGCTCTCGGGGTTTTCCTTATATTGATTTTTAAGGAAAACAAGTATATTGGTGAAAATAAGGGATCCTTTCCTCACAGCAAAATTCATTACTTTGAATTTTATGCAAAAGAATAAGATACAATTCAGATGGATGAGCATTACGAAAACATGCAGATCTTCTGCTGAGATGGAAKGCAGCCAGAGCATGAGCAATGTTTTCTGCTTAATTTACAAATTACAGTGAGGAAGCATTGTGACACTTTCTGTGGATGAGACTGGCGTAGATGTCTTATGGTGAAATCAGCAGGTCTACTCTGAAAGAAACAGAGCTGAGTTTATTCCTCACACAGTGCTTTGCACCTCTTCTTGTTTTACACATCCTATTCCTCTGTGAAGGCAAAGTGCATTTTCCTGTCTATGGAAGGAAGAGGAGCAAACCCAGCACTGCAGAAGTCTGGTGAGGCAATGCAGTATTTTACACATGTGAGAGTGAAGAAGAAAGATTCTAGAAAAAATATTTGTTSCTTTTTAAGTGAGAACTGTCCATTATACATTATTGGACTCCTAGAACTTTGTGTTATTTGACTACTGAATTTACAACCGAAGGGCAAAGAATCACCTTAGAATATTCAGAATCAGCATCTGGCTGTGCCCCTTGAGTTTATAATTGCTTTTTAATATATATTTATTTATATCTCTATGTGGCATAGATAAATTGTTTCACTTGATGTGGAATTACATTTTTTCCTTTTCAGAATTACTTATTCTATTCCTCTGAAGCAGGCAGGAAAACAGAAGCCAATGACTGCAAAACAAACCCCAAGTCTGAGTTTAACGATAAATTGCAAACAAGTATATAAAAATACATATATATTTAAATATAAATAAAAAAATACAAATAAATAAAAATACATATATATTTAAAATACAAATAAATAAAAATACAAATAAAAATACAATAATAAAAAATAAATATACATATAATATATAAATAAATATAAATAAAAATACAATAATAAAAAATAAAATACAAATAAATAAAAATACATATATATTTAAAAATAAATATAAATATATAAATAAAAACAGAGGCAGTAGAGTCAGAGACTTTAAGTGTGTTGCCTGTTTCTGCTGCTGAAATACACTGTTGACTCAAAAAACGAGGATATACCTTGTGGCAGAGGTTATTGAACAGAGCATAAGTTTGTCAGGTTCAAATTGTTCAAGCATAACCTTAAAAGAGATGCATTCAGACAACTCAGACAACCAGTATAAAGCTGCCTGACCTTGAAAAGATGGATCAATTCATCCAATTACGTTAGAGTGGGGAATGTTAGACTTTATGTACAGAGTAATCAGACAGGGATTAGATATGGTGCTATTTGTTGCTCACTGCATATGCAGAGAGATCACTGATAAAGTACTTGCATATGGCAAAGAAATACAGTAAGAAGAAAGTGTAGCAGCAAGAGATTGATAAGAAGTGTAACTCAAATGAAAAGAGTCTAGGAGAAGGAGATTAACAATATATTCTAATGCAATTTTCATTCCTCTTTTTGAAATTAGATTTCTATTATGGTGTTCTGCAAAATGAGCACTCTTTTGTAACAAAATGCAGCTACATAAAGTGAAAATGGGAGCTGTACCATTTTGCAAAAGCACACAGAACTTTCATAGAATTAATCAAAGTGGATTTGAAGCTCATCTTGAAAAAAGTGGATTCCTGTCTTAAATCAAGGTGGTTTTTTTTTTCCTATGCTGCATCTGCAAGTTTCCCAGGACTGAGGAAGAGTTGTGGAGTGAGGAGTACTGCCTAATCCCATACTGCCTAACTCTATACAGGAATGAAAAGAGAGAATAAAATATTTACRTATCTTATGCATATTACCTTGTAGGACATGGGGGAGCAAATAAAATGGGCATCAATATAATCAGTCAAAATGTTTGAACATGAAGAAATTTGTAAGGGGAATCCACTATTCATTCTGTGTTTCATTTAAGAATAACTCTCATTTCAAAAATCTTAAGAAAAGTTTATATTTCTTTTKTCTGTCTCATATGTCAAGATACAAATTTAAAAATTAACATCGTAAATGGAGATTTGCCCCAAAGGTGGTTATGTAAAAATGGTATTTCATTTCTGCACAGCATTTTCTCTCTATATAGTCAAATTTCCTCATTTTCTTGAAACTTTTCAACTCTTTTAATTATAGTAAAGCATGACAGTTTAGAAGGAACAATCTAAATTCACTCATATCTCTACCTTTGTCTATTAAATTTAAATGATTACATCTGCACAGATCCACCGAAGGCAGTGAGGTTGTATTTATGACAGGAAAATAATTTTAATAACTGAGAGACTAATTTGAAAGCAGTGGGGCTAAAGATATCACTTAAGGAATAATTTGGCCTGAGGACTCTTCATTACTGCTGATGTGCAAGTCAAGARCACAGTCTGCCTGTCAGGAGTTTCAGTGTCATTTGCAGAGCTGACAATTAGCAAAATAATCATCATTGTAGGTGTAAGATGAACACATCTGCTGTGACAATCAATGAACGACTGATACCTTGCAGCCTGGGCTGAATGGGAGAATGCAGGGCAGCACGGGAGCAAGAGCAAGGCAGAAACCAAAATTTCTCTGGTTCACGGTCTCCTTTATTTCTTCTTTCTCTCAAGTTGAGGTGAAATGGGGCACTGATACTCCTGTTGTGGTTGATTTCTGCCCTGACTCCACTCACATGGTTGCTTTGGCTGACACCCTCAGCAGGAATGGAGAGGTCTGGCAACAAGTTTCTCCTGACAGTTTTCAGCCAAAGCAGCTCTCTGCACTCACATTTATTGAGGAAGCACCAGGGTGGTCAGGTACCAGCACTCTGATGCCACAAGGCTCTCACTCTCCTCCCTACCTTATTAACATAGCAGGGAATCAGGGCTTAAAATTGTACCCTGAAACATGTACATGTACCCATGAAATATACACCATGTACATTTTYTCAAAGAACACTCAGCGATGAAAAATCAATGATTTATAAATAATATGGAACCCCATCTGCATAATGCATGAGTGAAATTCTCTTCCTAAGCATGAAACTGTCAAGAATGCCTGGGATGTGTTGGTTCTGGGAGTAAGTTTTTAATGGCCTGTGCTTGAGGCACTATTTGGAGTGGAATTATTTGTAATCACCATTTTCCATTTCACCATTTTCCTGCAGGAAGCCTCACATCCTTTGTGCACAATGCCAGGCCTGTGTGTCCTGCTCTGGAGTGAGCTGGGGCTGGGGGAGATGCTCTCTGAACCCTGAGCCCCCAAAGTATCCAGAGGCTGGGGCTCACCTTTCCCCTCTGAAAACCTTCTGGTTAGATCAGACCATTTTCTAAGTGCCTTGGATCTGAGGAGTGCCATTTTTAGTGACCATCACCCTCATGAAGTGGATGAACAATGTCTTGGTCTATGTAATGACCTCAATGCCTATCAATTTGTCAAKCAGCTTCAAATTATCAGGTATATTCCCAATTTTCTCAGTCCATTGTCTGGAAAAAGCAGGAAGACCAGAGGAARTAGCTCAGTTCTGTCAGCTCAGTTATTTTTATGTGATGCTGCATAAGACATCCCAAAATACAGCTATATACCAATGATTATTGTAAAAGCACTTTCTCTYTGGGTTTTTATCTCTTAAAATCTTTGTATACTTAATCTGTTAACATACTTCATACACTTTACATGCTAATTCYTTTAGAATTTTCTTAACTGTGTCACAAAAAGTACTAAGATCAAATCCTCGATCAAAAGAATTAATTGTTATACCAAAACCTGGGTATTTTAGAGGAATTTGCAAACAGTCTTTAATAGCCTATTCTGTRTAAACATAGTATTTCACCCACAGATTTTTAAATGCTGCAGTTTGTTTCTAGTTTTGAGATAAAACAGATACAGCTGCTTTACAATCAATAAATAAATCCCAGTGAGTAATGAACCACGAATGAAAATCCATGAGAAATGTTTTATTAAGTGGTAAGAAAACTTATGCTTTAAGTTCTTAGACCTAAGGCAATTGATCAAACTAATAAAGATCCCTCCTCAGAATTTCTGCCCCCAGATTGCTGGACATCAGATGTGTCTTAAAACAAATTTAGGTTAGTCAAAAATCACAAAATTATGTATTCTAAAATACATAAAAAAATCTGATGAATACTCATTATCACAGTTGCATAAGACAGAATAACTGTTAAAAGAAAGAGATGGTGCAAGGGGTCTTAATTATATCTTATTCTGATTGGATAATTATTTTTCCTGTTTAAAACTGTTTACTCTTTTAAGACAGTTTTCTTGTTATTTGATTATGTTGGATTATATTTGTTTTATACTTTCATTTAAATCTGAGGAGACAGCAAAGCATGCTATATCAGTTTTTTCTTTACATAGTGTCGTGGTTTGGAATTCTGGCCAAATGCCAGGCACCCACAACACTGGCTCATTCGCTCTCCCCCACCACCACTGGGTAGAGGAAAGCGAAGAGAAAAAAAAAAAAAAAAAACTAACAAAAGGGCTCATGAGTTGAGATAAGGAGCGGGGAGAAAACGCTTGATGGACAAAACAGGCACCACTTAAATTATGAAGTGAATTTATTACTACCAAAGTCAGAGGAGGAGAATGAGAAATAAAATACAACCCTCTAAGACAACGATCTTCTCCCCACTCCTTCCCCCCTTCCCACCGACAGTACAAAGCAGCGGAGGGGGGAACAGGGTGCGGGGTCGGTCAGTTCAGGGTGTGGGGTCAGTCAGTTCAGGGTGTGGGGTTGGTCGGTTCAGGGTGTGGGGTCAGTCAGTTCAGGGTGTGGGGTTGGTCGGTTCAGGGTGTGGGGTCGGTCAGTTCAGGGTGTGGGGTTGGTCAGTTGAGGATGTGGGGATGGTCAGTTCAGGGTGTGGGGTTGGTCAGTTCAGGGTGTGGGGATGGTCAGTTCAGGGTGTGGGGTTGGTCAGTTCAGGSTGTGGGGTTGGTCAGTTCGGGGTGTGGGGTTGGTCAGTTCAGGCTGTGGGGTTGGTCGGTTCAGGGTGTGGGGTTGGTCAGTTCATCACCGGATCGATCTGCAGCTGCTGAGGGAGAGGATCCTTCCCTTGTGTTGCCGTGGGGTCCCTCCCACRGGAGACAGTTCTCTGTGAACCTCTCCGGCGCGGTTCCACTCTCACGAGCAGCAGTCCACACACATCTGCTGCATCGTGAGTCCCCCCATGGGCAGACAGTCACCCCAAAACTGCTGCACCGTGAGTCCCTCATCCCCTGGGTGCAGGCCCAAGGCCAGGCTGTTCCATTTCGGGACCAAGGCCTCTCTCTCCATGGCTCTCCTGCTGGACACAGCCCCTTCTCAGTGTCCGCCCGCTCCGGTGTGGGGACCTCCCTCCTCCATGGGCTGTGGGTGGATCTCTGCACCCTCTGTGGACCCCATGGGCTGCATGGGGACAGCCTGCTCCACCATGGCCACCATGGGCTGCAGTACTGTGTACACCCTTTGTTTTGATTTCTTCTTAAATATGTTTTCACAGAGGTGTAACCACCATCTTCAATTGGCCCAGGTTGGGTCAGTGGCATGTCCATCATCCTCAGAGCCAACAGCAATTGGCTCTGCTGGACATGGTGGAAGCCTCCAGAAGCTTCTCACAGGWGCCATCTTTTTGGCCCCCCCACTTCCAAAAACTGGGCCAAGCAAAACCAACACACATGGCTCCAGATTTTCTAAAGTTTTTGCATCAAGCATATTTTCAAGCACATAAGAAGCAAAGTATTGGTAGTGAAAGCACTACATTGTTATCTATATGACAATGATTACAGTCCTCCTATTATATCTCAGAACTGCAAGTTAAAAAGTCACCAAACTAGGAAACAAAGGTATGTTTAGGGCTATCTAGACTAAACAGTAATACAGACGAAACTGTTTGAATTTGGATTTTAAAAATCTCTTTTGGTAAACTTAAATGGGATTCTTCACAAAATGTATAGACTCATAGTTTTTTGGGTGTTTTGGTTTTTTTTTAAATACAGAACCAAATAAATGAGTCAACAGAATTGCAGACACCGGTAATGATCAGACTTACGGGTACATGCCATAGTTGGTGGGTCCTTCTCAGCTCTGAAATAACCTTTCTCACACTGACAGACAGAAGTGGCTTCTATGTGAGTCAAACTGTGTGGAGGGCACTTGGAGCACTTCACATTTCCAGCAAATGCTTTATAGAATCCAGGCCTGCAAGCTGCAAAATAAGAAGGTAAGTTTCATTAACAGAAGAAAATGTTGGTTATAAAGAAAATCTGTTCCAAGCAGTTATAATGCTTCTTCTTTCCAATATAGATRTAGATGCAGTTTCAATGATACAGTTCTTCACAGTATTTATTTTGGCATATGGACTTAAAATAAAAGAGAAATCTGTTCTTGGTATATAATGGGGAATCATTAAGAGAGACAAGTTCCCAATTTATAGTCCTCAGTGCTGCTTGAAATTGTCTCCAAACATCTTTACTAATATCTCTAAATGTTATCTATGTTTTACATAGCTTCCAGGTGATAACAAGGAAGAGTAAGATAACTTCTTATCTGCCAGAGCTGTTTATATGGCTTCCTTATTGAAGTAATGGACAACTTGCAATACATAATATATTTACCCCCCACAATGCCTTGATGAGACAGGGATGACCTCCCTACATACTTATGGCTGGGTCGGACTTGCCTACAATGCCTCAAGAAACCTCTGACAGCAGATCCTTGTTGGCATGAGAGACTGGAGGAAGGGATGAAGGAAGAGATGAAGGAGCTGCTGACACTCTCCAGCACAAACCAGCACAAGGCTGAGGCTACTCCTGATTGTGTTAGGAAACAACCTGGATACCAGCCAGCTTTGGGACAGCATGCTCAGAGCTCATCCCTTCCCCAGTTACTGGGAGCTGGGGTCCCTGCTGTTCTTAACCACAGCACAAGCTCRTGTGCCTTTTTTTGCTGGCCTTTAAAACAGAAACAAGCCATTAAAATAAATCTTATCACAGATCTGTCAGGCATGCGTTTTGAAATATTATTTTCAAATCATCCTCAGACTTCATCACACACATTTAAACAGAGATTTCTTTATTTTTTTCTGCCAGCTACCACATTTACACATGCCAGCATGTGTTGCAGTTACTGTTTTCTGGCTTCCCAATATGAAAGCAAAAAAATGAGAGAGCAACTAACACATGTATAGATTTTATACACTCCTTTTCCTTCTGACTCCTCCAGTGGTACAACGGAAATCAGTGCTATAAATAYAATTTCCGTGTGGCTTTTTCCCACTTTGACATATTCAGGACTATTTTCTTTACATTGCTAGAGGAACTATGCAGTACTTACTTCTCCTGCAATAAGATACAAAAATTTTAAAATTACATGTTTTAAAAAAGTACCTCAAAGAATGCATTAATGGATTCAGCATCAATTCATATTAACTGAGTTATTAAAAAGTATTCTCATAGATAACATATACAGAGATCAGTTTTTCTTCTGATTCCAAAGGCTTTTCTTGATATAAAAGCAGCTTCACTAGTAGCCGAATGAAAAGGAGTGAGATGACACTGAAAAGGATAACATTTGATTGCCTCTCAGAATCCAAGAGCCAATTTTTCAAATGCAATTTTAAGAGCTTAATTTTGACCCAGCAATTTCAGCAGTTCTTCTCCCAGTGTGTTGTTCTGACTTTGCTGAATAGACATTAGGGAGGTATCCTGCCCTGCTGTCACTRACTGGGGAAAAAAAAAGAAAAGGGTTTCTGGTGTTAGAGATAAAAGGGGTGGGAACAGCAGGGATTTTCCCCTTGAAAGCAGGCTACTGGTTTGATGCAATTGTGATTTTAGTGAGTGGCAATTTTGCACTGATTGGAAAGACAGCAGGTTTGGTGCAGGGAAGCAGGCAGAGCTGTGGATACAGGCTGTAGGCACTGACTCCCCTTAGCTTTGCTGGAAGGAAGAGAGGATCTAAGAAAAAATTGGGGGAAGGGTGTTATGCCTGCCTTCTCCCTTCTTATCTTCTCATGTCCAAATTGTGCCATGATAAACATTAAATACTTGCTTCATTTCACATATGTCGTGTGACAAAAAAATGTTTATGACTAAAGAGTTGGTAATTCCAGGTTACAATTTCATTCAAAGCAAAATGACTGCTTTTTACAATACTTCTGAATTCATGTCTGTCAGTTCTGAAATCATTCCTTCTTCCCTTCTGACCCCCAAACAACAAATCACTTTGGATCAAAAGAAATAGGATATTCTCTCTCAAGAGTAAAATTTGGTCTGAACTTCAAAAAGTTTACTATTTCAAAATACAAATCAAGGAGACGATTAATTTCTAATTTTAAGAAGTAAATGTTTTATTCTGAAATGGTATTCTCTATTGTATTTAAAGTAATTATATTTTTTTGACATTGCCAAGTCTCTCAAAAGAAAGCACATATATACTCATGGAAAAGGTTGGGGGGGAAAYAATGGATTCATGCAGCTCATTTTACTTTTTTTGACGTCAATTCAARTACATATATCCTTTAAGTCAAGGGCGTATCACAAATTCTGTGGCAGAGAATCTACAGGGATATCAGGGAAGCTTTACAATGATGGGGTTTACAAAGCATTGACAACCTACTCCCCATCCAAATGCAGACTCCCACAATCATGATTAGTGATACTTGCAAGAAAACAAAATAAAACAGCCCTTCATAAACAAGGTACAATGACATAAGCTGAAAGCCCCCAGATGATCACAAACTCACAAACTTGGAAAAACTCATCTCTCTRGATAGCTCAGAGCTGATTGCCAAGATTCATGGTGAAAGAAAACAGTTACTCTGTCAAAGTCAAGGAATATGCAACCCGAGTCTGAAATACAGCACTTCATAGAATATACTCTGTACATATAKAAGCTTAGACTCTGATAACAATTATTGTGTTTCAGTGGAAAAACTAACCCAAATAATTGYTAAATTTACCATTTTCCACAGAAAATCTACAAGAACTAGAGTTACTACCCACATTTTCAAAAGCTTGTTTAGGAGTTGTCCCAACTGCTGCAATTTTGGAGATACATGAAGAAAAAAAATAATTCCTCTGTTCCTTTGACCTTAGGTGTCTTTATGGAGCTTAAGGCTGTATGGCACTGAAAACCAGTGTATCTTACGTCAATTTCAATCAAAATTTACAGGAAAATTGCACAAAGGAGCTAATGGTGTGTGCTTTCTATAATTTCTGATTTATGCATGACATTTTGTAAAAGTGTGTTTTGTAAATGCCCTGCTGTGAGGTTGCTGTATGAAAATCATGTGTGTGACTGCAGGCTGTCATATCAAACCACGTAAAAGCACTAAATTATGTATTCCAGTTTGGAGTCCTAAATTCCATGCTTTCTAAAATAAGGATTAGAATGTAACTCCATAAAGAAGTTAAATCAATAGGTTAATTTACATACCTAATGTTAACCAAGTTCCTCTGATTTTGCCCAACTTCCCATTGTTTCCACTGTGTATTCTCCTGCRGCGATTTCAGCAACACAAAATTACTTAGTGCACAAACTGCCTGATGGGCAAATCAGAAGCTCAAAACCTTTTAATTATAAATGGGCTGCATTTTTGCGTTTGGAGAAGGGAAAAGACCTCATCTTTCCCATAGAAAATTGCATCCTATGTAAAAGTATTACAAATAAGTTCAAAGTTTAATCCATAAGTTTTTGTATATTAAAAGTTCAATTTTGCATGAGTTGATAAATCAGGGTTTTCAGTTTCTCATAACGTTTTCTTCGCTCAGCTAATAGTTTTGCACCTGACATTTTCACAAATCATTTATGGACATGTTAGTGAACTAAAATTTAAAATATGCAAATCTGTTCATCATCTGAAAAAGTTCCTAATGATAACTACTCAAAAAAGCATAAAGTTTGGTTTTTATCTGTGTTACCAAACAGTATTTCATCCAGCTTTCAAATCACTCTTGTTTTTCTTAATGTTTTCTACCAGAAGAGACTTTGTGAYTTACTGATTATAGGAGCTGTATGAAATGTGGCTTTTGTAAAGCCTGGGGGAAGATAATATATTGTGTTAAAAGTTCAGTAATTAGCAGGGTATCTGAATGAACAATTCAAAGTTTTCTCAAATGACATATGAGAGACCATGCAGAGAATCACTGATAATTTAATTTGCTTCGTAAAAGGTAACTCATCTAKAAACTTGCTTTGTTACAGCTTCACCAGGATTTCACTAAGCTTTGCAAGGGTCTTTTGAATTGCCCAGTCCAGAAAATAAGGCCATGGCTCCATCACTCCAGAGCACAACTATGGGCTCTGTTCCAGAAGAGTCTTTACTAGTAAAGGCTGTTACAGTCATTAAGTTCTTCCCCAAGCTCAGAGACGTACAATGCACAAAATCCAGAGAATGTAAWCACAGTGGTCATGTGACTAGTCATATTAAAAAAAAACCCTTAAAATATAGTATTCTCACTGCTCTGTAGGAGCTCATCATTGTGAAAGAATGTGGGTGGTTCCATTTTTCGGTTGTTTCSGTTTCATGACATCTGAATTGACCACTACATTGTTAGCTGAAGTAAAGCGAGTCCAAAGGAAACTCAGGAACAACTTTTAGCTACATCTGACACTGTTGATCTGTGGGTGGGAAGGCATTTGTCATGAAAATGGATTTTTTATAGCTGGCTGAGAACTCATCAATCAAATTAAACCAGAGAAGATTCTATTGTCATTTACAATGAATGGCAACCATCACTAGCTGTGAAAGAGGTGTTTCTATCTTTCTGAACCACACAATTTGTTATGCATTTCCACCTCATATATTTTTTTAACCTTGCTTACTGGATCCCACTAATGCCCTGTGAGACTGCTATCTTTCATATTTGTTATATTCTGAATGACTTSAATTTTAAAGTTCTGTCACCCCTCTGCTATCTGATCACTTTATAAAAAGGGCAATCTAACAAGGCCTGTTCTGTTCTACCACTGTGCAAAAAGAAGGAACAATGATATTGCTTTAGCTAATTTATATTTTAGTAGAAGTTTCCAGAAAAGCAAAAAAGAAGTATATTAAAAAAAAAAAAAAACAACCCTAAAAAAAACCCCATGAAAAAAGAATACAAAGAAAGCTGGATGTTGTATATTAAAAAAGGCAGAATAAAATCAAAAGCCAAGATTAGGATATTACAGAACAGTACAATAAAGCTATGAGGACAAATTTGATTA